AGAAAAATAAAAAAATCCTGATTTGTTGACATGGTTTTTGATATCCCTTAGATAAGCTACAAACGAAGCTAAGATCCGAAGGTGGTATTAAGGCTTTGTTAGGAATTGTGCGGTGTGGCCATCCTGATGTTCTTTCCCAAGTTGCACGTGGAATTGCAAACTTTGCAAAATGCGAGTCCCGAACATGTACTCAAGGTAATAATCTGTGTCAGATATATGCCATCAACAGTTCCCTCAGTGTTCAAAAGTTTTCATTTATTGGATTTCATTCTTTTTCTAACCAAATGAACAAACTGACCACTTTAAGGGTCCCCCCTCCTCTTCAGCAGTAACCATGAAATTGCATAAAATTAATCTGTTGTCAAAGTGAATAATTGAATTTCAAATTCATAAATGCTCATAGTTAGGTTTGGAGCTGATTCTTGGTTTCAGCAGCTAGATTTAGATTATTTTGGTGATATGAACTTCCATTTTGATGTCAGATTTAAGGTTTTATGTTTTGTGGTGTAATATTAATATGCTGAACTACTATAGGGATAAAGAGTGGAAGATCTCTCTTGATAGAAGATGGTGCACTTCCATGGATTGTACAAAATGCTAATGACGAGGCTGCACCAATCCGGCGCCACATCGAGCTTGCACTCTGTCACCTAGCCCAGCATGGTAGGTGCATTTTTTCATCCTAGGTAAAATCTTAATCATCTGAGACTTGCTGCTTATTTATTGGTATTCAATTCTCAGAAGTGAATGCAAAAGACATGATTAGTGGAGGTGCCCTGTGGGAACTAGTTCGTATTTCTCGGGACTGTTCACGAGAGGACATAAGGAGTCTTGCTCATCGAACTTTGAATTCAAGCCCCACTTTCCGTGCTGAAATGCGACGGTTACGGATAGACTACTGATTAGAAAGCAGTGTGATAGGCTGCATTGAATATACTTGTTGTCTCCAGTCATTGACACTGATGTGCACACAGATTCGTGATGCTGCTGTATAGGCTTGGGCAAGAATTGTGTCTGATTATTCTGACATGCCTAATAAGGGGCATGACCGGGTGAATTCCTCGCAATTTTTGTGTAAAGTAAGCGAGGCTTCAGTTTATATCTCTGTTTAGCTAGCATCTGTGTTTATAGAAGAACAAATTAAAGGGAAAGATTTTTAGCTGCTTGAGGGTTAGTCGAGACTCTCCCTTTTAGATCATGAAAGGTAGAAGACAAGCTCGAAACTTCAGCACGTCTTTTCCATTGTTGTATTGATTTATTGATATAAGCCAATGATAGTCGTCATTCTTTAGTTTTTTTAATGCTGACTTCAGTGTTTTATATTTTGATTTTGGGTCTTATGTTTTCATGTTATATTTGGGGAAGGAAAACGTGGGTGCTTATGCAATTGCAACCTTGATTAAGGGCTCGTTTGGGAGTTATTTTGGCACTTTTGTGGGGAAAAGCATCTCCCACGCGCTTCTCCATGTAATCACTTTAAG